ATGCACATGTGCATAGATCCATCTTTCTTTTTCACAAATAGCACCGGCGCCTCATATGGCGACTTGCTCAACCTAACATACCCTTTGTCCACCAACTCCTTTAGTTGGCACTTGAGCTCCTTGAGTTCCTTTTCATTCAAACGATAAGGGGGATGAACCACTGCCTCAGCACCCTCGACCAGCTCAATCTTATGTTCTATCGGTCGTGCTGGGGGCAACCCCGCCGGTAGCTCCTCCAGCATGGTATCCTGGAATTGGTCCAACACTCGCTGGATCACTAAAGGCACTTCTTCTGTTCTTGTCTTTTTGTCACTCTTTACCGAGAGTAAGCACAAAAAGGCTGCCTTAGTTCCTTTAGTGAGTTGTCCTCTCGTGGACACCAGGTTTAAGCAGGAATCTTTGGCCTTGCTTTGCCCTACCTTTAGATCCTGAGCCTCCACCCTAGATCTTCTTCCTTGGGCATTTGCCAGTACCACAAGGTTCCTACCTTGTCCATGCAAGGCTACCACAAACCGATTGAACCAATCCATTCCGAAGATCACGTCAAATCCCGCCATGTCCAACATGGTGAAATCCATGTCCACTTTCCAAGTCCCCACTCCGACTCTCGCTTGTCGAAGTACCTCATCGGTGCTTTGGCTACCTTAAACAAACTCTATAATCCTTGGTTCGCCTAGCCGCTGCACCGTTAGTCCGGCATGCCGAACTATGTCTGCAGCCACAAAATTATCCGAAGCACCCATGTCAATAAGGATCTTAACAAAGCTACCTCCGAGCTTCCCTCGGAGGGCTAGTAGATGTCGCGAACGACTCTCTACCAAAGTTGCTCGTGTAATGAGTAACTTTGAGTTAGGGACTGGATCACATACCTCAGTTTGGACTTCACCCGACTTGATGGCCATATTGGCTTTGGCCTTCTTCGGGTAGGGACATTCCCTCGAAAAGTGTCCCGCTTCACCGCAGTTGTAGCATATGTTGTTTCCCACGCTGCTATACGACTTGACTTTCTTATCCGTGGGTTTGTCTCTTTTCGCTTGACTCCCCCACGTACTCGCTCGCTGGCCACCGGATTTGCCTTTCCGGAACCCCGAGGACTCATTCTTAGAGAAACTCTTCTTGAATTTCCCTCGGCTATACGTTCCCCTTGGTTTGGCCCCTTTGCTAAACGTGAACCCCGACCCCGTCGTGTTCCCCTTTCACAGGTTATCGTTGAAATGCACCTTGATGGCTGCATCCAACGCTTCCTTGTAGTTGGTCGGGTTCCACCGCATCACCTCTCCGCGAGCCCAGGTTTGCAAACCTGATATGAAGGCATGGAACGCATCCATATCCCCCATGTCCGTGACAAGTATCCTCTTTGCCATAAACCCATTCACATACTCCTGAATGCTTCCGGTCTGCTTCAGCCTACTCAGCTCGTCTCTTAGATGCAGAGTAGCATTCGGAGGAACGTAAATCGCGCAGATCCTCACCTTCATCATTTCCCAAGTGGCCACTGGTCCTTCGTTAGCCTCTGTCATTCTCCACCAAGACTTGGCATTATCTGCCAAGTATGGTTTTGCACATAGGACCTTCTCCAAGCTTGGTAACCGCAATGCTCGGAAGTAGTCCTCCATATCATAAAACCAATCCTCCACCACCTTATAGTCATTCACTCCCTTGAAGACCGATGGGGGCTTTGGTTTGTACTTGGGAACTGCCTGAGGGACTGATTCCACTTCGGTCTATTCGACTTTGTTTGGTTCTGCCTCAGTCACTACCGAAGGGTCCGCACCCTCTGCACTGCTAGCATCCGCAGTCTTTCGCTTTTTCTTCCGCTTCTCGTCACGCTTTAACTTGCGTATGAGAGTCTCTAGTAGGGCATTGGTTTGTGCCAATTGTCCTTCTAGAACGTCCAATCGAGTCCCTACCGAAGGGTCCGCACCCTCTGCACTGCTAGCATCCGCAGTCTTTCGCTTTTTCTTCCGCTTCTCATCACGCTTACGTCTTGCCCTTGCCATCTCCCAGCAATCCGCTTCTATCCTTCGCTAGAACTAAGGAAGAGGCTGCCCTTGCCATCTCCCAGCAATCTGCCTCTATCCTTCGCTAGAACTGAGGAAGAGGCTCCGATACCAAATTGTAAGCTCCTGAGTTTGGACTTCCCGGGAAGTCACCCAGCCCAGTACTATTCAAACCCAAGGACGCTTAACCCCAAATATCCCAAGACCCTTAACCGATTGGAAAAGGGGGTGCACTCTTGTTTATGGGCCCTTTCCCTCTATATTTGAACCCCATAGATCATCTCTCAAGTCGTTCCCTTTGGTTGCTTACAATAAGGTGGAGGGCAATTGTTTTCGTTGCCACAGGGCTGGACATTAGAGTAAGGATTGTTCTGAAGATGACTATGGTGGAAATTATAGGCAATGATGTGAAGTGATAGTGCTTTTGGGGCCGTATTGTTTCAAGTTAGGCATTCTCTTGCATTTATAAGCCATCGCATTCATAAGCCATAATTTTGATGCCACACAGTGGAATTGACCTATTCAAGAATGGCAACATTACCTATATGGATTGGACTTCCATGTAGATTCAAATCATTAGTCTCTCCAAATGTAGATCTTCAAAGCCATCTTGCTCGTTGGCAAGAATTTCTATAGGAAATGTTTGTTAAGATTCGGTACAAGCATGGAAGTGACAATAAGGTGGCTAATGCATTATCCAGGATGGTAAATTCTATCTCATTCGTGAAGCTATCCAACAATCTCTTGGATGAGCTTAAAGAGTTTGCTGACTTCGACTCCTTTATCACTGATATTTGTATGAAGGTTTTGTTGAGGGACACCTCCACAGATTTAAAATGTGACAAGTTTACATCATTCGAGATACGAGATGGAATCCTAGTGAAGAAGGGACATATAGTGGTCCCTCGTGTTGACAAACTTATCAAATGGATTTTGGTTGAGTGTCACGATGTGCCAAGTGTTGGGCATCCAGGGGTATTGAGAACATATATGTTGGTGAAGAGGCATTTCTTTTGACCTGGGATGAAGTCAGATGTTGAGAAGTACATACATGGTTGTTTGACCTGCTAGGCAGTTAAAGTTGATCATCAGAAGCTCACTGGCCTCTACATCTTTTATGTGTACCCGAGAATAAGTGGGATAGCATCTCGATAGACCTTATCACTGGTTTGCCCAAAACCTTTCGAGGAAATGATGCTATTTGGGTTGTTGTGGATCATTTGATGAAAATGGCTCACTTCTTCCCCGTGAAGATGACTATAAAAGCTTTTGAACTTGCTCAATCATTTGTAGACCAATTATTCAACCTCTATGGTTTGCCGGGTGACATTGTGAGTGATTAGGATCCCAAGTTCACGTCTAAGTTTTGGCAAGTGGTCTTTGAGAAGCTAGAGACTAAGCTGAGTATGAGTAGTGGTGAGCATCCACAATTTGATGAGCAGATAGAGTGCATAAATTAGCTTTTAGAAGATATGCTAAGGTCTTTTGTGGGAAACTTAACTCGACAGGGAGTATGGGAAAAATACTTGCCTTTGCTTCAGTTTGCTCATAATAGCACTCATCAATAAGCTATTGGCATGTCTCCATTTATGGCAATGTATGGCTATGAGCCTAAGTCTCCAGTGAGTTTGAATTTGGCTTTGGTTCGAGTACCTCATGCTTGTGATTTCTTGGAGGATATGCAAAACAAGCTTGAGTTGGCAAAGTTGAACATGGGGCAAGCTCAAGAGCAAGACAAAAGATTGGCTGATGAGGATCATCGTCATCAAGAGCACAAAGTTGGTGACAAGATTTTCCTTAAGCTGTTGGATGCACAATGGTCTCTAAAAGGAGGTGGCAGTGCTAAGTTGTCTTCACGGTATTGTGGGCCTTGGACAATTTTACAGCATATAGGGGATCTTGCATACACTTTAGACTTGCTAGTTAGTTCGAAGATTCATCCAACATTCTAGTGAGCAAGCTTAAAGCGTGTTTGCACTTTGGTGATGTCATGTATTAATCCATCATCCAGATCCTAGAGATTGATGCAGAGAAGGCTGGTCTGGCCAATATTCTTGCTCAAAGATTGGTGAGAACAAGCCGGAAGACAACTAGGGAGTTGTTAGTTCAATGGAATGGTTATTCCATGGACAAAGCTATATAGGAAACTAAGGATGACATGAAGAAAGTGTTTCCAAGTTTTGGTTATGACTTGGATGATATTCTTGAGGAAGGGGAGAATTGAGTTTTATAGCTGTATTGTTATATGATTTGAGCCGTTTGTTCTATTCTCATTCTCTTGTTTCCATGACCATATTGTCATGTGAGAAAGCCGAATTGCTTTCCTTCTTTCATGGCCATTTGTCGCGACATTGGTATTGCCATTTGCACATCTTTTCTTCATGGTTGTATTGCCTTGGACTCCCTTTATGTGAGGCTTGTTTAGCTTCTCAATGCTATTGTATGTGGTTAGGTCATAAGGGAGGGGAAAATGACACGAACCACAGGAATATTTTGAGAATATTCTATTCCTGTGGGATTTAAGGCCATAACACCTTAAGGGTTGGGAGGTTAGCCTAGGGTTCACTCTCTTGTTCATTTCACTACTCTTGAACAATAGACAAGACCTTACACGAGAGAATCAACTACTAGCTCTACCTCACCTAAAACACATACATAACACTGTAAGTCTTGAAAGCACAATCCAAATCACCACCTCATCAACAACAGCATCTATCTTATTACTCTTGGGCATGTCAACCTGTAAACACATAAAACAAAAAGCCATTGCTAACACGATTGCTGTGGCCATTTGTTGTCCAATTTCGTGTGTCATCCGCCTCTCTTTTGAAAAGAAAGAAAGAGGGCAATTAAGAAACACGCTTAACTTACCTCCGCCTTAATCTAATGCAGTAGCGAGCAAAATTCTCCGAGCGAACCTCCCAATGCCCTAGGCTTGATCGCCATTGCCACGCCGATCGGACGGCACACCTCTCTTTAAATGCGCGTCCACGTTGGATCTCCAAAGTTGAATATTTCAAAATTAGCGCTTTTCTAAACATCGCCCCACTTCACGTTGTGCTTGGCCGCGAGATAGTGAGCTCCCACGGGACCCCGGCTTCCGTACGGGTATAACTCGGGCGCCGTCTTCTTTCTCTCGAGATCTTTAAGAAGAGGAGTGAAAATCTTCCACGCCGCGTCCAGTTCATCGCTCCTGATGAAGAGACGGCGCTCTCCAGCGATGGCATCCAGCAGCAATCGCTCGTAAGCATCAGGGATTTCTTTCGAGTATCTGTTACATAGCTCGTAAAAAAGAATTAAACTGTTAGCTCGTTCTACCTGTCTGCGTAGAGGAGGTCCAGAGTGCTTCGATCGAGTCTCATTCCCAGCCCCGGGACTTTGTTGTTGATCTTGAGATAAATGGCTTCGTCTGGCTGGACTCGAATCACTAGCTCGTTGGTGGCTTTGTCTAATTCCGTACCGAGGTTCCGCTTGAAAAGATTTCCAGGGACGTGTCTAAACTGAACTCGAATCTCGGTCCTGTGAACCACACACGAAACAAAATATGAAACTTTGCGGAATCCAGAATGCAGCAATTTTACGTACCGTCTGGTTTGCAAAGCTTTTCCGGCTTTCATAAGAAATGGCACGCCATCCCAACGAGCATTGTCTATGAAGAGAGCTGCCGCTGCAAACGTTGGAGTGATGCTGTTCTTGGGCACGGTGGAATCGTCTGTGTAGCCGGGAAATCTAACACCGTCTTTGGAGTAACCTTTGTACTGACCAACAGCAGTATCTTCGATACTTAGAGGCCTCATAGACCTTACAACTTTTACCTGGAGAAAACGAGTAAAATCTCTTCATACCAGGGCAAAAGTTTAGCTTACTTTTTCGTTTCTCACGTCTTCCGCATCTAAGCTTACTGGAGGCTCCATTGCAAACAGGGCTACAATCTGGAGTAAGTGGTTTTGCATGATGTCTCGAATGATGCCGTAGCGATCAAAGTACCTGGAAGAAATGTTAAGTCGTTTTACAAACAAAAAAGATGCGTGAAGCCTACACACCCTCCTCGTCCTTCGGTACCAAAGTCCTCAGCGAAAATAATCTGCACGTTTCGAATGTATTTTCTCGACCACAGAGGTTCAAACACCAGATTGGAGAACCGGAGAACCGAGAGATTTTCAACAAGTTCCTTTCCAAGATAGTGATCGATGCTGTACGAAAAAAGAAGAGACTATCAAGCCAAGTAAGAGAAATACCTTCTTACCGATATATTTGATCTTCATTCAAGTACTGCTTAAGTCCACTTGTTAGCTGTGCGCTAGATTCCGAATCACGGCCAAATGGCTTCTCCACAATCACACGAGTCCATCCTGTTGACGATGAGGCAGCGAGACTGCCACACTTTGCTGCGTCCACGAAGACATTGGGAGGAACTGATAAGTAGAACAAGCGGTGTGCAATTCTTCCTTGCTGCATCAAAGAAAAAGAAAACAGAGAGTAAAATCCTCGCAAGTTGTAACAGCACGGAAAAACTAGATACCTCGTGGCCTTTGAGCTTCTCATTTAGCTGAGCGAAATTCTCAAGCGAGTCATATTGGCCAGGGTGATAGAAACAGCGTTTCAAGAATTCCTCCATCTTGTCTCCACAGTTTTCACTGTAGGAAAGAACAGAATAAGTCGTTCTAGGTACCATGATAAACACTTCACGCAAACCTTCTATCGATCCGGCAAGTTAGATTGCCACTGATTTTCAATCGCAACTCTTCGTCGGTCATCTTGCTCCTGGCGTAGCCACACACTGTAAAATGCTGCTCTACGTAAGAGACGCTTCTTTAAGCCACAAAACCTTGTGAAAATAAAAACGATGGATTCGTTCGTACCTGGGGAAGATGGCCGTCGTAGAACAATGCAAAGAGGGCCGGAAATATCTTCTTCTTTGCAAGATCACCGGATGCCCCGACGATTGTGATGCTAACAGTCGAATGAGAAGCGCCGGTGGTAGCAGCGACGCCATTGGCATTGGCAATCACAAACTCTGGAGCTTGAGGAACAGCTGCCGCATCTGTGATAATCCTGGATCAAAACGCAACGCACAGCAGGATTCACATACCGAGTGAAGAATGCGCGTGGCAAGCTACCGCAGCTCGTTTCCCCCCAGAGACTAGCTTCCCCCCAGAGAACTTGAACAACCCTAGACGCAGAGAACGAACGGGGCTTGTGAGAACACGAGGAGGCAATCCACGAGCACAAGATGCTTGTAGAATATTCGTCATAGCACAGCCTTGACCTAATTTTTCAGTATTAATGTTTATTATTATTATTAACTTTCTTAAATCCTTATATTATTGATAATAATTAATTATACTTTTATAAATCCAAATATTCATTAATTTAATCAAGCTCAAGTATTTCTTCATTAGCGGACAGAGCTTTCACCGTCTAGTCCATTCTTCACTACGATAAAATTCATAAACTAGGTTCCTGTTGTTGCTATTAAACTTGGTTTGGCCAAAACATCAATCACTCTATCGCGTCCGCCCATGAGAAATCAGAGCCAATTGAGCAATCTAGGAAATAGTCAAAACATTGATCTCCATCTTTTCTAAGGGCTTACCTATAACTCGGAAACGTATCCTTCCATGAACTCTCCCAAGGTTCCATGGGCTCCAAACCGAGCGAGCAGTGATTCTGGCAGAACTCTGTAGCATCGTCAAGATTTCCCAAACCCAAGACACGGCACTGGAGCTTCCACTCATCTTACGTCTGGAAGAAGCTATCAGATGAACAAAAGACCACGATGATGTCAGGTCCATCAGGAAAACAGAAACAATATCACAGAGCTCTTGCAGATCATGGTCTTGCCTGAGTCCTCGGGGCAGATGATCACAATCGGTGATATCTGACCATCTTCAACTTGGCCTTCTCAATCATGCCAAAGTACTTGTGCGAATCATTATTTTGCATTTCTTGTACAATCCTAAACTTCAAGGCGAACGCCTCTTCGTCCACAGTTGGGAAACGCATCGTTAGAGTGAATTCTATATAGTCAACGGTCAGGTAGAATATTCCTCTAGAATATTTTGGTCAACTTTAGGGCTAAGTGTTACGGATCCTTTTAACAAAAAGAAGCGGGTCGAATATCCTGCTGGAATATTATTGACCTCAATGGAGCTGAGAAGGCGAGGGCGTGGCGATGGCGCTTCCCAGGCGGCCGACAGCGATTCTAGGGCGGAAATGGAGCCCCAGCGCCGCGCTTGGCCATACATGGCGCTGCTCGCGCTCCAATACGGCATCCAGCCGATCATCTCCAAGCGCTATAGCGGGTAAGATTTCGTCCCTTTGGATCCTCCATCAATCGTGATTCATCGCGATCGCGGATCTGGTGTAGGAAGGAGGTGATCATCTCCACGACGGTGCTTGGATGTGAGATTGCAAAGGTATGTCCATTGTCGAATCGAAAGGAATTTTTTTCTTCTTTGCTTTTTCCGTCCGTTGTTAAGTTTTAGTGTGATCGCACAGACTGTGTTTGCGCTCGTTTTTATGTTTCTCGATGGAAGTATTTGGAGACTTCACAAGGAATGGAACGCTATTGACGCATTGACAGCGTCAGCTCTTCCAGCAGGAATTTATGCTGTGCAAAACACTCTCTTGCAGCTCTCGTATCGTCACCTCGATTCGCTTACGTTTTCCTTGCTCAACCAAACAAAACTTCTTTTTACAGCAGTGTTCATGTTCTTTCTACTCGGGTAAGGATTCATTTCTTCCAATTTCCATTTTTCGCGAGTGATCATGTGTGTTATTCTTCACAGGATTACGCAGACAAAACAGCAAATTGGTGCTTTGCTCTTGCTAGTCTCGGCCGCTGTTCTGCTTAGTTTTGGTCAGAAAAGCTCCAAAAGCTCCGCTGATGTCGATCCGGAGTCGACTTTAATACTTGGCGTAATTCCGATCCTAGTTGCTTCAATGCTCTCCGGGTTGGCATCGACACTTTGCCAATGGGCCGCCCAGGTACATCATTCCCTTCCCCTCTTTTATTATTTCTCGTGCCTCACTATCTCGGGATCCTGTGCCAGGTGAAGCGTAGAAGCACGTACTTGATGACTGTTGAGATGTCAACTTTCGGAAGTCTGTTTCTCATCGCCAGCTTGCTTAAGTCGCCCGACGGAGAAGCGATCCGGCGGCGTGGTTACTTTTCCGGATGGACCACGCTCACCCTTGTAAGTCGTGTGGATTCTTCAATCTTGCGACACTTATGTGCGCATCCTGTTGCAGCTCCCACTCTTTACAAATGCATTTGGTGGGATCTTAGTTGGCTTAGTGACAACATATGCTGGTGGGGTTCGAAAGGTACGAAGAAGAGAAAGAAAAAATAAATCTATGTTTCTATTTTCTGTCGCCGTAGTGGAGCACCCACACTCTCTCACACACACACACTTGCTTTTGTTGCAGGGCTTTGTTATAGTGTCTGCTCTGGTGGTCACGGCGCTCTTGCAATTTGCTCTCGAGGACATTCCGCCCTCCATCTACGTGCTAGTGGCGATGCCAATGGTCATCTCTAGCACGGTCATATATCAGCGATACTCTGGTGTCTCCAAAAAGAAGAAAGCGTCCTAGTTTTCCTTTGGGTAAAGCTCTTTTTTTGACTCTCTCTTTTCAAGAAATCCATCGCCGGGTTGGTTCAAGCTGATTGATTGTGCACTTTGGTTTGCTTGTCTCAGGCCGAAGCTCATTGTTAAATGGGGCCCTGTGTATTCCTTCCCTGTGCCTAGGGAGGGAATCACACTTTTGCAGCTAGTCTTTTTTATATTTCTCCTCCTCTTTGCGGTGGAGTGACGGAAGCAGAGTTGACTCCTTTAAAACGGGCCCGTGACGCAAGTTACGCTTTGATGCATCGACTTCTAGAAAGCTACAGGTACGTTCTGCGTGCTCGCTGCGTTGTTATCAATACAGCTACTTATCGAGTGAGCATTTGGACTTTGCGGAGGGAAATTCTTGCAGATTCTGCGGGAGTTTTTTCCCGAATATATCAAAGCAGCTCGCCACCCTGTGCCGCAAACAGCGCGAAGCGACTTGTCACCTACTTGGTCCAGGGTGAGAGATGTGTTGCTGCTGCTGCTGTTGCTGTTCGCGAGAAAGATGAAGTCGAAAAGGAAAAGGGGCGGCTTACTTGGCGACGCTTGGAGCGTGAAAGCAGGCATGTATCTTTGAATTTCGATGTGTTTGGAGATTTTGCTCCCGGTTCTCAGGTCCTCTGTGCAGGTTGGCCGAAGCTCCTTTTCTCCAAACGAAAGTCAGAGGCACAGGACACGCAGCTTTATCCGTCATGGATGGGCGTATTAATTGCGAGAATGAATCAAGTCAAAGAAATGGAGCATAGCCGTAAGAGCACCACCAAACTTCGGTTGAAGTCTCAAGCTGAAAAATCGATTGTTTATGCCAGGCTGATTGATCGTTCGAAGTCAAAGGATTGGCTTGGAGGAAGAGGTGCGTAAGCTTCCAGAGAATTGTTCGTGATCGCAAGTGAGTTTCTTTTTTTTTACTTCTGCTTTTGTATCGTGATCTCGCCTCGCTGTTCTCTTGATCTTATAGCATGAATCTTCACGGAGATCGACGCGATTAAAATTTTCCAAAAGGTTCGCTCAACGAGAAGGCCACTAAAAAATGTTGGGAGAGATTTACGAATTCCAAGCGGCGCGTGAAAGCTGAAAACCGAATTAAAGAGGATCGATTAACGCTAATGCGGCCATTCCATTAAGCTAAGCAGCATAACGTCCGTCCAGAAATTACCTTTGACCGTCATTTGTAAGAAACGAATCTCTGGCGCCGGGAAATGCGCTTGTCGGAAAGGTGACGGCTGACGGGCAAGAGCGCCAGTCAGCCCGTCAGCCCGTCAACTATCAAAACCGTCAAAAACGTCAGTGCAAGTGGAGTTAAGAAAAGAAAAATAAAGGAAGACGCAAAAAAACTCGGCTATGGTGATATAGAAGAGAGCTTTGGCTGCGTTGTGTGTGTGTGTGTGTGTGTGTGTGTGTTATAGTTTTTATAGATAGTGTGTGTGTTCTACGCTAGCTATGGCGATGGAGGAGAGCTAGGGTTTCGAGAGGAGCGCGCAGCTAGGCGCTAGGCGCTGCGGCATCGGGCGCTGAATCGCCAGATTGACTGGGAGCTGCGTGGAGGGGGAATGCGTCGCGGCGCGCTAGGGTTTTGTGATTCCCGAGGTAAGATGTTTGCAGCGCCCGGAATGCGTCCTCTGCGCGTCGCCGATTTCTCGCGGGATTTCGCAGATTCTCGCGCAACGCTCGCGTAATATTTCGCAGTGATCCGGCTTTTACTCTCCCCGGCTGCTCGATCTCTCCTCCCTCCTCCAGATAGAGAGTGATGCCGGGGATTTCTTCTTTCATGAGCCGCGGGGGGATTGGATCTAGCGGCAGCAGCAGCGGTAGAGGCAGCGGCAGGGTTTGTGAAGGCTAGCAGCGATCCAAACGGAGGCCGAGCGAGGGCCGAAGAGGCAGAGGGAGGATGTGATCATGGGAAACAGCGTCTCAAGAGTGGTGAGCTGCTTCGTTCCCAGGCGGGAGCACGATGGGGCGGGAATTGTGCTCTCGGATCATCCTCTCGATGAAGGCCTCGGCCACTCCTTCTGCTACATCAGGCCTACATTGGACTCCTCCGCCAGCTCGCCCGCCCAGCACCAGTCCGGGGACTATCCCTTCTCCCACTCGACGAGCTCGTCCATCCACACCGACTCGGAGCCATTTGGGTCGAGCGTGGAGGCGGAGGAGCAGGCGCCGGCGATGCCCAGGATCAGCAAGAACGCGCTCAAGTGTACCATCTCCGAGACCTCTTTCAAGGCCATCTCGGGGGCGTCCGTCAGCGCCAACACCTCCACTTCCAGGTCGGCCCCTTTGCTCGATAGCTTCACCGCCTTCTCCAGTGTCCCGGCCGCGGCGTTCGAGAGCACGCCATCGTTTACAGCGCTGCCACTCCAGCCGATACCCAGGGGAATTGCTCACTCGGGACCCATCACTGGATCGTCAGGCTCTTGCTCGGGGCCGCTCGAGAGGGGATTTCTATCCGGCCCGCTGGAGAGGGCGTTCATGTCGGGTCCTCTGGAGCGGGGGTTCCTGTCCGGGCCCCTGGAGAGAGACAAGGCGGGCTTCATGTCTGGGCCATTGGAGAGGCAACTCTCCGGGCCTCTCGAGCAGGGAGGAGGTGGGCATTTCTCCGGGCCGGTTTTGTATCCTTCCGTATCGCACAGGGGACGAAAGAAGACGCTGGGCGAGTACGTGAAAGATGCAAGCTTGCCGGTTCGTCGAGCCTTCTCCAAGACGGTTTCCAACATCGCTCGCACTAGGAAGTCACTGGTTCCACACCGGAAGAAGCATAGAAGAGGTGGTGATCGCGACCAGCAGCATGCGAGCGAGTCGGTTGCGGACACTTACTCCATGTCGTCGGAGTTTGACGCGAGGGAGAGTCACCTTCAGTGGGCACAGGGAAAAGCCGGGGAGGATAGAGTCCATATAGTACTATCTGAGGAGCACGGATGGATGTTCGTGGGGATTTATGACGGCTTCAATGGCCCAGACGCACCGGATTTCCTCATGAGCAATCTTTACCCCGCCATATACAAGGAGTTGCAACGTCTCTTGTGGGACCAGAAAGAGGCATTTCAACTTTCGCAAAGTCCGTGCTCGCAGAGTCCACAGCAGCAGCAGCGGCTACTTACGAAAGCGAGACGTGAGATCGACGTTGGTGCCAACGGTGGTTTGGCGAGAAACGGCATGCAGGCGACGAGGTCGAGGAACTACCCCTCGCCTATGGATTGCCAGGACGATTGCAGCTCACTCGGAGTGATGGAGCTGGACGGGAAGTCGTCGGAGGATCGGCAAGGCACGAGAGCTTGCGGTGGTGGCGAGGTTGACGGCAAGCAGGTCAAGCTTAAGTCCATACTGGGAGTAAAACTCAAGCAGGCATGCAGGAGGAAGCACAAGGGTGGCAGCAGCAGCAGCAGCTACAAGAAGCTGTTCCAGTGGCGGTACGACTGGGAGCACGAGAGGCTAGAGTCGGAGAGGCTGGCCAAGGCGAGCGTCTGCGAGGAAGTGGACAGCCCGCCAATCCAGTCGAGGAGAGGCCGGGTGGATCACTCGGGCGTCTTAAAGGCGCTGGAGCGGGCACTCGAGGAAACGGAGCACGCGTATCTCGAGATGACGCAGAGGTCCGTGATGGACAACCCGGAGGTGGCGCTCGTCGGCTCTTGCCTGCTCGTCATGCTCATGAAGGACGAGGACGTCTATATTATGAACGTTGGCGACAGCCGCGCGGTGCTGGCGCAGGACACAAGGCCCTCTCGCAGCGGCAGCAAGTGCCAGTCGGTCCACTCCAGCGACAGTAAAGAGGCCGAGCACGAGCGCATCGGCGCTAGGGACTCGATGCTGAGGATGGAGCTGGAGAGGATCATCGAGGAGACCCCGACAGAGCTTGCGGCACTGGAGGCGGCGTATGATGTTGGGGACCTGGCGCCACCGCCTCTCTCGCCAACTTTGGAAGCTCTCCAGCTCTCCTGCGATCACAGCACGAGCATTGAGGAGGTGAGTTCTCTTTTTTGCCTCTCTCTCTCTCTCTCTCTCTCTCTCTCTCTCTCTCTCTATGCACGCCACACACACTGACTTAACGTTGACAGGAAGTGATGCGTATAAGGATGGAGCACCCGGATGATGAGGCATCTATAGCGAATGATCGCGTCAAGGGAAGGCTGAAAGTGACTCGAGCTTTCGGCGCGGGATACTTGAAACAGGTGTGTTCTTGCATGTTTTTTTTTCTTCTCCTGTTTGTTCTAAACTTTAGCTCTCTTTTACCAACACAGCCCAAGCTAAACGACGCTGTTCTCGAGATGTTCCGGATCGATTTCATTGGCGACGAGCCGTACGTGACTTGCACGCCCTCATTGCAGCATCACAGGCTGGGACCCCGGGATCAGTTCCTGGTGCTCTCCTCGGACGGTCTCTACCAGTACCTCAGCAACGAAGAAGTGGTGGCTCATGTGGAATGGTTCATGGAGAAATTCCCAGACGGTGACCCCGCTCAATACCTTATTGAGGAGCTTCTCTTTCGCGCTGCCAAGAAAGCCGGTATGTTCTACTAGTTCTTATAGTTCTTTAGTTCTTAGCATTGGATTGATTACCAGGTATGGATTTCCACGAGCTGCTAGACATTCCCCAGGGTGACCGCCGAAAATACCACGACGACGTTTCGGTGATGGTGATCTCGCTCGAAGGGAGGATTTGGAGATCATCCGGCTGAAAGAAAGAAAGACGATCGATCGATCTGGCAACCCCGGAGACAAGTGAGATTGGAATTTTTTTTCTTCTTCCAAGGACCAAGACAAGGGATAAAAAAAAAAGAGAGGGAAATCTGTGTGATGTGACTTTCTTGAAGAGGCACGAGGACTTTGCTCGCGATTTTGATTAGTGGCAAAAAAGCATATGATACTGCGCGCGGCTGTAATGGATGATGATGGCTATTAAATTTATTCCCAGGCTTCTAGATTCCTCGCTATCTCTCGATCGGGTCGGGTGGAAGGAATGGGAGATAAAAAGTGTTTCCTGACAACGAAAGAAGAAAAAATCGTCGATTCAAAGGCTTACTTTCATCGTTCTAAGTTGGCGGCGGTGGAAAGATCTAATCTAAAACACCGCACTGCGCCAAGCAATTCTTCTGGTAGCTCGCTCTCACTTTCGGCCTGTGATCCAGGAAGAAAAAAGGAAAAAGAGAATTTATCGACCATCACTATCATGCTCCTAAGGAAATTGGTGGCTTACCCTCAACGAGAATCCCATATCTACAACCAACGCGGATATGTACCCAAAAACGATGCTCATCACTCCACGGACTATTCCCGACGATCCCATATTCACATCCACCTGTGTAACAGCACCCAACACTCTTGTAAACTATGAAGCAAGCAAACCAAATGAAAGCTTGTTTTATTACCTCGATGTAGTTTTTGCCTTTGTGATAGCTGCAGTCCAGGATCTGGCCGAGTACCACGGCTCTCGATCCCACGGCTTGCCTCACAATCCAAGAGCCCTGGGTTCATGAAAAAAAAAAATGAAGGCTTCGAAGTCTAGATTGAACAAACGAACTTTGTGTTACCTCGGGAACTGAGGGCAGCAGAAGAAGGCGTTGATTCCGGAAGTTGTCATCTTTGTGTATAAACTGATGCAGCAGCGACCCTTCCAGTATCTTCGTACGTGTTGCGAAGTAGAAAACCAGGCTGTAGTAGTGACCAGAGTGAGGAACCTGCGAAGGTAAAGACGCTGGTTATGCATTTTGGGCATCGAAAACTAATTACCTGCAAGTTGAACGTAAAGAAAAAGGCGTCCTTGCTCTGTTTCTGAAGTAAAATACGGACGAGAAAAATGAGGCGTGTCCAACAGAGAAAATAAACTGTCTCTACCTCTGAAATGCCCCGTAAACAGGAGACATTGTCTAGTTTGTCCTTGCTTTTGTACCAGTCTGCCGCAACAAGCTTAAAAATCGGTTCTTCCGCTGCAACCTGGTGAAAGGAGTTGAGAGAATCGAAACGCACCAAACGAATGATTACCAGCAAACCATCTCTCAGGTATCTTTTTCCTCGAAGTTTGAACAAGCTGCTGTCGGGCTCGGACACTGAATTGCGGCCAACTCCGCGGGACAGCGTTCCCGAGAAAGAGCACCACTTTTGCAAACCATCGCTGTGGCCATTGTATGCTGCAACATACACATAAGGTCCAAAAGCAACTCGGAGAAGATTTAACAAATGCATACCTTTGGCATTTCGAAGCCTTTCGTCTGATACATCGCTATGACTCTGAAAAGACACACGCAGAAGAATATATCGAATCAAGTACGTTTGCTTTTCCATACCTCTGTGTCTGAAAATTGGTCCGCGCGTGCATCAAAAAAATCCTCCATATCCGACGACCCGAGGAATGGTGTGGAAGCAATACGTTGAGGAATATTGCTGGCAGCGACTGGTTCTTCCGTTACAACGATTGAATTTTCTCGGGGCCTTGGCATCATATTGGACTGTGTTGAATTCATTCGGTGCGCAGCAAAGTAGTCTCTTACACCTGCAATGGCACTAAGAGATAGGAATCACTCGTGTCACAATATATAAGCTACCCGCAATAACGCTCAAGAGATTGTCTCTAAGGTGGATACCATAACTGGAAGTTATGCAGCCAGGCCAGCCACCAGCGTCTATTTCAAACACGCTCTCCACCATACACTTTGAAGGCGTCAATGGGGTGATCATATAGCCTCCACCTTCATTCATCCGACATCAGAGCCATTAAGTAGAATCCTTCGTTGATAATAGTTTTGTCTTACTATGTATTGTGGCACGAACATGTCCAGGCTCAGTTGCCTTCCTATCCACTGACCTGTAAAAGATAGCTGTAGAAAAACCTTAGTTCTCTACATGGCTCTCAACATGTATAGCTTACTGTATGCTCCATTGTCCTCACGCTTCCAGTAGCGCGAAATGCAAAAGTCTCTCGGGCTCAAATACCTGTAAGAAAGAATCTTAGTAATCACGGCGACATTCCGAGTTCATACTTGCCGCCAATCTTGCGTCAAGCAAACATGAAGAACATCGGAATGGTCGTCTATAACTTCCACAATCGACGCTGTTTCAACGGTGTGATCCCATCTACAGAAAAAAACAACAACAAACGTTAGCTTATCCAGACATTTTAAGCGTGATACTCACTGGAATCGCTCGGGTCCATAGTTCATGATCTCATCAAAAATAAGGTCCGCTTGGCCTTTCACAACTCCGACAGCCTTCATCACAGAGACCTGTAAGGTACAAAATCCTAGTCAATGGAGACAAAAACCATGACGAGAACAGAGCTCACCTTGGACCCCCTACACATCTCCTTAAAGAACCTCAGGCCTGAAGCAAACTACGGTCAAAGCAGGCAAATTTAAAGACGAGCAGTCACCATTCTCACAGCGAACAAGTCTCCATTTCGGCGGATCTGGAAAAGCTTCTGGAGTTCCGGGCTCCACCACAGGTGCCACTGCCAGCATACTGTCATAACTCAGCAAAAAGAAAAAGATTCCTAGTATGACAAACCCTTTCCAATTGTCCTGAGACGCTTCATGCTCCAGGATCCTTGCCTCGTCCTGGAAACGAGCACAAAAATTTACTCGGAGATACTTTCTTCCCTACACGACATGCTCACATACTGAAGCTTTCAGTGGAAGGCCATGAGTCCAAACAAGATAGAGCTGGCTGTAAAACAAGAAGAAACAAATCAACCAATCAGTCTAGTCACTGGAAAGAAGAAAAAGTTCCCACCTTTCCCACTGCAAGCAAAAACGCTGTGATCCACGCCTCGGCACTCGCTGATCCAAGCTCATAAAAAATCACCACCAAAAGAGAAAATCGAGGAACTTACAGGAACTTCTTTCGAGTAATCACACACACTGTAGAGACGAATCGTGTAAAGAACCTGCCAAAACAGGACGATCACTCTTGCAAAGCTCTAGATTTTTTATTTCCTCGAAGCGATCGAGACAAAACCTTGCCGTCCACCAATTGCCGCCCGGTATATCACCTACAGTTCATCCACATTGATCAAATCGAGGTTCGCCACATACCAGATCGTCCTTGTGACGCAGCTCCGCGAATCGCTGGCCTAAAATGTGAGCACGCAGTGGATTCCACCGGCCTTGCTCGCACCGAAGCTGTCACTCCTGGCGCCCGCCCGCATCATCCATCCAACAGCTCTCTCAAGAACCCTAAATCTTCTATACAAACATTTCTTTACTTTCCTTTTTCCCCTTGATTGCCACGTTACAGCAAATAGAAAAATACTTTTTTGATTCTTCTGATCTGACTGTGCATGCATGGATGTGAATCTGGAGGAATCATGGGGATGACTCTTGAAATAGTTTTGAGATCATGTTACATGACATCAGAAACTCTTTTGCCATCCACTCCAAAAAGCTGAGCACTAGGCTTTTTATTTTGCCTCCTTTTGCTTTTTATTTGTGATTCTTCTAGGATGTGTTCTGACTGAGGTTGTATAGAATGTGCCTCCAATTGCTCCATCCATGTGACATCCAGCAAGCAGCCTCAACAAGTTCTCCAATACAAAATCAATACAACACTCAACTGGCAGACACCCAACCACCACAAAACAATTCAATCCACTCCAACCTCCAAAAAGAGAGGAATTCATCCTATCAAAATCCAGTGGTGTGTGGATGGAATATCCCACATTCAAGGATTAGGGCTCAGTGTGAACCAACCAACTGGGCACATGGTAAAATGTCAGGCCTTGATGCGAGCACATGCACGCACGTTGCGTTTTCTGACTTTTGGCCTTGATCGTAAGCTCGGAGGGACGGCTCAGATGTGCCCTCAATAAATGCGAATCGTTGGTTCGTTGGTTTAAGTCAATTTCTTTGACTCTCTTGAAGATTAAAGGGCTGATTAGCACAAGTTTACTTACGAGGTTTTCTCGAGACAGTGGTTGTGGACAACATAGTTACGGTATTCAACCACGCTGTACGATTTCCCATGCGTACGTACAGTAATAGAAAATTCTTGCTTGAGTCTCTGTGAAGCACATGATCATCACCTCCCAAACCTGGAGCTATGATAAATGGGAGTTTGCTTTAACCTTTTCTTTGGTTTTCTAAACCATGTGGTCGCTTTCACACGCATTAATACTGGCTTCTCCACTATAAAAGCCGCTAAAACGCCCCCAACGCAAGAGAAGAGCTTAGTAGCGAAGAAGAAGAAGAAGAGGAAGAGGAAGAAGAAGTTCCTCCTGTCGCGTTGAGGAGAAGCTCTTTCTTCCTTGCTTGTTGGTAATCGATCCAAAGTTCCGGCATTTCTTCCTTTCATGGCGTCCTCCAAAGCCACATTTGCGCTGCTGGTCCTGGCAATGCTGCTCGTCTCACAGGTACGCAATTCCTCCCCTCTCTCTTCTCCCCCCGTGCCAGATCTAAATCTGCTTTGTCGATCTTCTTCTCCACGCAGGTTCAAGCTTCTTCTCTAGTGACCGGTTCCAAAGCAGTCGATGTAAGTTCCCCTGCCCGAATCGAAAGTCTCGTCGGTTTCTAACCCCGCTGTGTCTTGGATCTCTTGTTCTTCCCAGGTCCAGAAGAACAAAGGAGGCCGAATCCAACCGCAAAGTAAGCATCACCTTCCGACTCTGTTCCATCACACAGCCCTGTTTCTCCTCCTGACGATCCTCTGTTTCTGGTGTTCTTTCCGCTCAGGTTGCACGAATCTCTGTAACTACCGCTGCTCTCAAACTCAGTACCACAAGCCTTGCATCAAGTACTGTAACCTTTGCTGCCAGAAATGCCTCTGCGTTCCCCCCGGCTTCTACGGCAACAAGCAAGTCTGCCCCTGCTACAACAACATGAAGAATGCCCGCGGCGGTCCAAAGTGCCCGTGAAGAGTGTATCGATCGCCCGGCACTCGACGAGATCTTACTTAGCTTCTTGCAGACAGACTTGTATTGGCATGAAAAAATCTGCCCATCTGTTTCAGAAGACTCTCGCCAAGTTGTAAGAGAATGAATACTATAGCTTTCTCCTCGCTCATCTTTTCCGCGATCGAACGGCGGCGGGCGAGACACGTGAGCTGACACGAGCGCGGCTTTTCGTTGGTGCCGAAAAGCTTTCCTCGACAACCAACTTGACTGTTCCTGAATCTGAATTTGTTGACTGGATTAGCAATAACTCAGAGGAAAGTTCGCAAACATAGATTCTATACCTAAACCATCTCTCCTTGTGACCGTCCAGTTGCAAATCAGTGAGCCCATATGTAGAAACAAGTTTAATAAACTAACTAAAAAGTAGTAGTAGTCCAAAGCTTCCCACCCTCCCCCATGTTGAAGCTTTTCAAATGTTGATCACTAATGGGGCTAGTGAAGTTGAGAAAAAAGTTAAAAGATAAGCCTGCAGATTTAGGGTTGGATTAGGACGCAGTGGCCTGGCCGCCCTGGGCTATTAAAGAACAGAGCCAAGCGCCCGCGAGGCCGCTTGATTGTCTTCTGGTTCTGGACTTATACTCTGGCTGGTGTGCTGGTGGGACGGTTGCACACCGGAACTAGGTTTGTGGAAAATTAATTGGCGTGGAGTTTTGTTCAATCAACACATTTAACTCAAGATATAGTTTTGTTTGCTGTCTTAAGAGCCCAAAAAAAGTATAAAAACCCCCCTTTGTAATATATTATATCAGGAACACTGCACACTTACTTGAACAAAACTGTTCGAAATTAATTAGGAAATATGAGGCTAATGGGAAAGATGGCATTTTTTTCACATGCTCATGGAGTTTGGTGATGATTTGGGGGTTTGAATAGTATAAAGCACTTGGGTTTAGGACCAAATTGCTCTTGGCCTACCTTTTCAAGAGTGTCTTATCAAATATAATACAGGGTTACCAATGAGAGATGAAGGTGGTAAGGCAAAGTTTCTTTTGTCTCTCTTTAATGAGGAACGTGGAAAGTCACTAGCATAGCATGTGTGAGTAGGACACACGAAAAACTGCCTCCAAATTCATCATAAAAGAGAAATAGTGTGCCTTGCCACTACTCCTTAGTAACTTTGTATTCTATAAATAATAAATTGCTACGTGTTGCATGTAGCAATGCTTGGTTTGTTTAATGGTAATTTTATTATTACTTATTAATCTAATTGATTAAATAAAATTTATAATTATAAGCATGTTTGTAATTTATAAAAACAAAATTAATCTTATTGCATAGATGATAGAATAAAAAATAATATACTAGAAAGGGTTTAGGAAAGTTTATAAATTATAAATACCAGATTAATCTAAATGAATACCAACCGTTAGATGGTAGACTATTCTAGAATATCCAAGCATATTCTAGATATATTCACTACCATCTCAGTCCCCCTATAGGTTTGCTTAAGCAAACCAAAAAACTATTTTAGTGGATTCTTAAACCTCCTCAGTGGACAATGTGTGCATTGAGTTTCAGTATATCTAAAATTTGTTGAATAGACAATGCCTAGTATTTTTTGAAATTATTATTCTAGTTTTTCTGAATCCAAGATTTTCATATACATATAACAATTAAATGTCTATGTCAATCAGGGATATTAACTATTATTAGTTTAAAATGTTAATTTAATAATATCTGTATCTAGGGTCCAGAGTTTAAATATTTCGCATTAATACTGGCAGATTAAGCGGCACAAATGCAGAAGAGCCAAAAAGAAAGACGTTCTCTTTTATCTTCTTAATTCCATGGCGTCCTTCAAAGTTACGTTTGTGCTGCTGCAGGTAAGGAATTCCGTCTTCTCTAGTCGCTGGTTCCAAAAGTAGTCGAAGTTCCCCGAATTAAATCTCTTCGATTTCTAACCCGTGCTCATCAACTTCCGACTCTGTTCCGTCACACTGCTTTGTTTCTCCTCCTGATGATCCTCTGTTTCTGGTGTTCTTTCCGCTCAGGTTGCACGAATCTCTGTAACTACCGCTGCTCCCAAACTCAGGACCACAAGCCTTGCATCAAGTACTGTAACCTTTGCTGCCAGAAATGCCTCTGCGTTCCCCCCGGCTTCTACGGCAACAAGCAAGTCTGCCCCTGCTACAACAACATGAAGAATGCCCGCGGCGGTCCAAAGTGCCCGTGAAGGGTGTATCGATCGCCCGGCACTCGACGAGATCTTACTTAGCTTCTTGCAGACAGACTTGTATTGGCATGAAAAAATCTGCCCATCTGTTTCAAAAGGCTTTAGATTAATTGTAAGAGAATGAATGGATTCAAGTATACCATACTCTCTTTCGCTTTACCTCCTCGCGTTTTCGCGACCAAACGGTGATGGGCGAGACACACAAGGGTCACTTCTCGTTGGTGCCGAAACGCTTTCCTCGAAAAACAGCTTGACTGTTCCTGAAATTTGTTGACCGACATTAGCTCGCTAAACAGCAGTCAGTCAGAGGAAAACAAAACTAGGTACCTTTCAGGAAAGCGGCTCTCACATGATACCAATAAAGAAACCGAAAGCGACATGGTCCTGCGTTCTTGTTCCTGCTCGAGACATTATAAACCATCTGGCGACGATGTGAGCGAATCAAACAAACAAACCGAAAGCGAACAGCACTTAACTCGCGAACGCATCGAGAGCGGCCTCTTTCTGCCGTGCCGACAGTCAGTGTCCAATGCGCTCGTATATCATGCCTGTAAGCTCTGAGAACATTTAACACCAAGTAGTTAGGCCGATACAAGCAGCGGTTGGGCAACAGTTATGGCGAGTAACTTCCCGATCGAAAATGTATTTCATACAAGGCAGTGAGGAAACGAAAGCATTGCACACTACACGGCACAGAGTATATGGCGTGATTCACTTCTCTCTGGAAAACAAAAGAAAAGAACAAAGTGAGTCACTCAACATGAAACTTGACTTTACCTTTGATCACTTGGACATCATCATCTTTACAAAGTCCTCGTAGTTGATCTGCCCATCGCCATCCACGTTTGCCTCGCGGATCATCTCGTCAACTTCGTCGTCGGTGAGCTTCTCCCCGAGATTCGTCATGACGTGCCGGAGCTCCGCCGCGGAGATGAAGCCGTTTTGCTCCTTGTCAAACACGCGAAACGCCTCCTTGAGCTCCTCCTCCGAGTCGGTGTCTTTCATCTTCCTGGCCATGAGGTTTAGAAACTCGGGGAAATCCACGGTGCCGCTGCCGTCCGCGTCGATCTCGTTGATCATGTCTTGGAGCTCCGCCTCGGTGGGATTTTGTCCCAGCGATCGCATCACAGTTCCCAGCTCTTTGGTCGTAATGCATCCTGTTCAAAGCCACAAAAGAATGTGAAGTTCTACCCAAGAGAAGAGCTAAGATCACCTCACTCGAAAGAACAAGAATCTAAGAAACTCTTTAAACTAGATTCAAGAAGAATGCCAATTGTCAGTGCCAAGAACATCGAGCAAGAAATCTAGACACCCTAAACCGATACTTCCATGAGAAATGCCAGGCACAGAGAAAGGAATGGGCAGGAAGAGAATGCTGGATCAACATTTCGAGCAATGCATCCACAAACCGCAAAGAAACTGCGCAAGAATCAAAGATTTTACCGTCGCCGTCCTTGTCGAAGAGGCTGAATGCCTCCTTGAACTCAGAAATCTGCTCCTCCGTGAGCTCCTCCACCATGCTTCCTCGCTGGATCGATCGGTGGATTCAAAAGAGAAATCTCCCTCGCCGCGATGCCCTCTCAGCTCGAAATCGCGGATGAAATAGCCCTAGCCGTACACGCCTTGTGGCACCGTGTACGGCAGCCAGGTAGTTGAGCTGACTGACGGCGCGAGACGTCCGTTATCGAATCTAACGGCCCCGCCGACAAATTGCCGTACACGGAAACGCGGGAAAAAAGATCCTCACGTACACATATACGACCTTCCCCAAAATGCGCCTTTCCCGAAAAAGACCTGCCCCAAAAGAGACCGTGATTGCATGGTCCCGCATGCCACGTCATGCACCCATCCATACGGCCTTGGACAATTTTTTTTTCTCCTTGTCCCTTTCGGAAATATGCTCCACTCACTCAAAAAAATCACTGAAACCAGCAACATCTTTCTTCTAGGTGTATCAATCAATCCTACAACCAATGAATGATAGAGCAAGTTTTTCCAAACTTGTCCATGTAAGATAGTGACTCTTCATAAGAATAATAATATGAATAACAATAAGTTGTACAAGCACTGAGGTATGAAACGTAATAATTTTCCTCTTGATCTCCAAGCATAAAAATGTTTTGCCTATATGACACAAGGAATGTGCTATCACTTTGTTTTTGCTGGTTGCTGGCCAGACCACTTCAATGCACTCACCATTCGATCCATTTGATCGAAAACATCAGCTGAACCGAAAACTCTCTCGATCTCAATTTGCGGTAAAAAACTCTCTGGAGTGACCGATCCACAAATCCCGGGCCGGAAGAGAACTTGTTTACTCTACATCATACTTAAGCTTTCTTGTAAAAGTAGAATCCACTTGTAATGGATGTTGGTCATTGTGGCTGGTTATTTTAGTCACGGGGTTCAACCGGTGCTGATCATGATCAATGGCTGCTGTCTGATGACGCTTGAATCAGCGACGAACGCCGCCCGCCCAGGTTCGGCTCATACAGCCTGCACTCACACATACAGTGATATACTTTGGAGACGAGACATTTCAAGGACTTAAACAAACGACTCGTATTACCCAAGCTGTAATGAGGTCTGAAGGTTTTGGTCGCTCAAGCTGCTCTGCTGCTGCTGCTGCTGCTGCTTCTGGATATGAATCTGCATTTGCTGCGAAATTGCCTGCTGCTGAGCCTGCTTCTGCTGCTGCTGCTGCTGCTGCTTGTGTTGTTGCTGTGATCTGCTCGAAGACAAGGACAAGGACGCATTTCCGAAGCTTGGAGGTTCCCTTGTCTCCAGTGGGTTGACGCTTCCCTGCGCATGGTCGGCAAGCTGCGAAAGAAGCAGGATTTTTCCTTGTGTGATTCAAAAAACAGAACAAAGTTGATGGGCATTGCATTACTCGTCGTCGCAGCATTTCGTTTTCCTTGTGCAGCTGGAGCTCCTGTTTTTCGTGCATGGGCGATTAGCGATTCAGCTTTGGTAAAAGTTTACCCGTCTGCGCAGGTCCTCGATTTCGTCGAGAAAAACTTGCTCCTGGTGCATGGAGAGTGCACACTATGCTCAACATGGATAGCAGAACGAAATCAGCTCCTCAGGAATCTAGATATTGAAAAACAGGAAGGAATCTATAAAAGGTTTCGACATTGACCTTTCGAGAACGTATTCTGTTGAGCCCAAGCTCCAGCTGCTGCTCCAGGCTTTGCAAATCCTTGAGAGCCAAGTGAGCGAGATCATCACCCAAGAGATGCCTGGCAAAAAACTTAAGAGAATCATTCAAAGTATATATATAGAGTGTATATGATCATACCTTTGAGTTTGTTGTGAGCGCTCCAGCTGCTGCTTCAACCTTATGACTTCGCGGCTGAAGTACTACAACATATGTTATATTGAGACTCTGATTAAATTTCCAATGAAATTCTTTGAGAATGCATGCGAGCCACAAGATGTTTGAGTGATCTTGTTTGCTATGAGAAGAAAGAAAAGAAAGGAGAAAAACTTACATCACTGTCGTGGTGCTGGCTTGCTATATTCCCGCCCTGGACGCTCTCAGGGTACTTTCCATACCTATCCAATATCTCCTTCATACTAATGACATCCACCATCCCACCAAGAAAAAAAAATTCGGCCAGCCATACAATCAACCAAAAAGAAAATGGGAAGAACAAGTCAGTCACAACTTTATAGACAAATCGTCTAGCTATAGCCAAGAAACCCAAAAAGGAAGTTCCTCTCGAAGTGTTACTGTTCCAAAAGATGAGCGAGAGAGAGAGAGAGAGAGAGAGAGAGAGAGATGGACAAAATAAAAACGCTGTGCTGTGCGAAGTTTACACGAGAGAACTAAAGGCAACACATCCCAGCTGGAGATTTGGAGGGTACCACAAAAAAGATCGTCACAGAACCACGCAAAGAACAGGGACTAGCAGTAGACTCGCAATAGTAGTACATGGCAAAAGGAAGAACAAGAAAGAAGCAAAACTTCCAAAACAATGGACACCATAGCCACCATGAGCAAAAGAGGAAGGGAAAAAGAAAAAACTGCCAAGCAAAGCAAAACCACTCACCTTGTACTGGCGTATTCGAAAAGTTTCCCTGTGCTGGAGAAGATGATGAGCGCAACTTGAGCGTCGCATAGAACTGAGAGCTCGTGTGCTTTCTTGAGTAGGCCCCCGCGGCGCTTGGAGAAAGTAACTTGGCGGCTGGTAGCGTTTTCGATTCGCTTAATCTCGATCTTTCCTCGCCCCACGGATGGCTGCTGCTGATGATCTGACCTCTTCTCCTGGGGAGATTTGGCGCTGGATGCCTGCTGATGGTGTTCTTGCTGCTGAGCCGCCGAGGAAGACGATGTCCCGAGGCTAAGTCCCTCGGACTCCATAGCTACCTGGTGCTAGTGATCTCCCTCTCTCTATTCCTGCTCGATTTGATCCGGAGCCTAATACCCATGAGCAAATTCAGCAGCCCATTGCTTCATCCAGATCATTGATAAAAATGATGGAGATCTGGATATGGGGTGTTTCTGCAAAGCAAAGCAAAGCTTAAGAGGATGATATCAAGGTAGATGGACAGAGAGGAGATAGAAGATCAAATCACTCTCTCGAATGCTCACTTCTTGTTCTAAACTAGGAGAACCTTTGTCTTGTGGGGAAATAGAAGGAAGTATAATCCATGGCTTGCTCCATTTCTCTCTCTCTCTCTCTCTCTCTCTCCTCCCCTCTCTCTCTAGAGGTTTTGTGCTTCCAGCAAATTTGGACTGCACACTCTCACAGACCGCTTTTGGAGTGGAAAAGGAGAGAAGGAAAAGGAGAAAAAAACTCCACACAAAATACACACATATAGCAGTAGTATGTGCAGCAGTAGCAGCAGCAGCAGATCAGGTCTTTGTTGGGACCCTGGCGTCTATCAGTGTCGAAATGCGTGCTTCACACAAGAAAAAAAATGCAGCCGGAGGGATCAAGGACTCCTGATGCTAAGTAGAGCATGATCAGGAGTTAAAAAAAAAAAAGTGAACCAAGAACAATCGAAATGGTAAAGGGGCAATTCGCTTGCTCTCAATTCTCCAAAAGCCGATGAAACTTAGCTTTCATTCTTGGCTGCTTTTTTCGTGCTGTTGGCTGCTGCTTGCTCCGGGCTGAGACTCTCTCCTCTCCTTGTCTTTTTTCTTCTTTTTTTTCTTTCTTCTGCTGCTTGCTGCTGGCTCCTGAAGCCCCTCTGACCAAGTGAGTAAATTCAATCACTTCACCAGAAAATAAAATAAACCTTTAAAAAAAGGGAGAAGAACATTGATATCCATATTTGGACATATCTCGCATTCCACAAAGAGAAACAAGGATGGAGCCAAATGCCAATCTTCTCCCTTCTCTGCTCTAAAAGAGGTGTGTGTGTGTGTGTGTGTGTATCTGAGAGAAAAACAACAACCTATATAGCTCTTCTTCACTGACTCGAACGTAGACTCCAGTTCACTGGAGAATGAATCAGGTCATAATTAGGCACTAACCACCCGTTAATTGGTCCCTAAAGTAGTGACTTTCTATTTTTATTAGAGAAGGCCATACACAAATAGCAATCTGCCTGTTTCCACAGATCCGCCCTTTGCACTTGATGCCGTCACGCGGCTCCACCTCGCTGTTGACACGTGTTTTTTAGTACATGCCTCGTGGCGTGGCACTTCATCCATCATCTTTTTTCGGCCAAGTGAATATTGGGATATCGTTTCATGGTTTTCAATTTTTGGTTGTCCCCACCCATAAATCATGGAGTGGCTTCTGTGGACACAGGAGAATCACGCCCAGGGGTTTTCGTTAAACATGCCCGGCTCCCTGTTTACAGGTGCTTTTGTTGTGTATTTACAATTTTTACATTTTTTGCTTTCTATTTTTCTTTTTTCCCCTTTTCTTGCATGTGACAATCAATCCAACTGCGTCCTGGGGAAGGCCTTACCTGCAAAAGCATTAACAACAACACTGCAAGTTAAGATTGGATGTCCGCACTTCACGTGCAATTTTCTAATGATTTTTTTCTTTTGAATTAAAAATAGAAAATAAAAAACATCACATTTTCTCATTTGGTTGTGAAGTCAACATGTGTCGCGCAAGACATATTCCCATGCTGTCGATTTCCGGAGGAGCTGGACGTTAGGACATGGAAATTGGAAGACATAAATGAAACACTGAGTGAGCTTGTCACTACTTTCTTTAGGGTCTTAAATTTTCTTTCCTTTTGGCTAATCTAACATCACTGGAAGGGAACTTGTACGTACGTAAAGAATCATATTTTCCAAAGGAAGAAAGAATGAGTGCGTTGCGTGCACAAAAGTTGCCAAAGCACACACTTGTTCTTGCATGTATGTCAACTTTACTCTTTGTGCTGTTTGGTGTTCTATTCTACCATTCCAGCATTTTTTCAGAGTGTCTGAGCTGGAAATTTAAGAGCCTCAAAATTTCTGCTGCGAAAGAAAAAGGTAAATTGATCATAAAGAAAAAGGGAAAAGTGGCTTTATGCTTAGTTTGTGGCACATAGTGCACCAGTCAACTTTAGTCAAAAGTCATAGGAAGAACATATATTATGATTTTATGAAGTAAGAAAGCTTACTAGCCTGGATCTTCACTTGCATCACCCCAAAGATTTTATTCTTGTTGAGTTGTCAGTTCTAGGATGCCCTCCCCTTGACAAACACGATCTTTCCAAACCGCTCGATATTTTAATTCGTCCAACTAGGTACTTGCTTACCCACTAAACAAATATGAAATGTAAGTTTTTCTTTACCTTATTGGTGGTCATTGGTGGTGGTGCTACTGCTGTTTCTACCCTTGCTCTTGACTTTTTCCAGAAAATGTACAAAATCAGAAAGAAAAAAAAGGAAGAAATGGCACACCAACCAAACCAGCATGACTAAAACTAGCTTATTTACATTGCATTTGAGTCCTGTTGTCCGAAGGCCATGGATCCAGTTAGGTTCCAGCGATGACTTATTTTAATCTCTGCCTGGAATTTCACTCACTTTTAATATCACTTACCAAGCAATGGATACATATTTTGTTGCAACTACGATGCACATAAATCTGCATAGTAGTTTGCATTCTAGCCCGAAAATGCCCTTCAAGAGTAACATGACAACAAGGGGTGTGTTTTTAAAGAGCGTAAAGCCAAAGCTAGGCATCGGTCCCAACACTAAAAACTAAACAAAGTGATATTAAACTTGGTTGCTTGGTTGGGCATGACGCACAAACCAAGTCATTGTGCTTCTTTAATATATACCTTAAACAATGGAAAACCATCGATGTCCAAATACGCTCTTCTTTCAGTTTTAGTCAAGTTAGTCTCACCAGAATCGAACCTCAAACCACGGAAAAAGCTAGTTATCCGTGATTTCGTTTTGCTTCTTCTAAATGGTGGCGGAAAAAGCTAGAGTTCTCGAAATTCTAAATCCAAATAAATGGCATGGCTGCGTGAGATCGAGAATCCCAGCAGCAGCGTCGAGGGTCTGGAAGATCGCTAGTGATTTCTGTGGCCTCCACAAGATCATGCCTGTGGTGGATGTTTGCGAGAGGCCCCAAGGCCAGGATGGTGCTCCAGGCTGCGTGAGGTTCTACACAATGGATTTCCCGGCAAGGCTTCCTGGGGGGCGAAGGAAAGCTTGGGCCAAAGACCGACTTGTGAGCCGAGACAATGAAAAGCTTTGTTTTGTGTTCCAGGCCGAGGGAAACAACTTAAGCCTCGAGGATTGTCTTGTGAATGTCATGCTTTATGAAGGGATGGACAAGAGCACGATTGTCAACTGGTCCTTTGAGGTGAGTGCTCGAAGCCCGACTACCAAAGACAAGGCACTGGGAGATCTCACGGAGTTTGCCAATGCTTACCTTAAAGGATTAGAGATGGCAGCCATGTCTCGTAGCAACTGAACGAGAAAAGGAACTAAGGGAAAAGAGAAAAAAGAATGGAAGAGGAATGTGAGTTCTTCACTTTCTAGAGAAGCTTTTAAGATTGAAACAAAGGTCACAAGGCCCAGCTTACTGAGATAGTAAACAAAGCAGGAAAGTACCATGTGTGCAATAAAAAAACAAGTATTTAGATTTCCCTCTTCAAACACAAGGAAGCTACGAAAAGAAATCATATTAAATCTCTGTAAGTATAAGAATGGCCGGGATCAATTTTCTTACAAGTTGCAGAAAATATGAGAGCTGAACAGACCAATTGCCTTTTTTTTGAGTTGCAAACACGAAAAAAGGAAATGCTCGGGTGCAGTGCTGGCAAGGCTCAAATGGAAAAGAATTACGCATAGAGATTTCAAGTACTTGGCAGTACAACTTGCTCTTTAAAAACAACTCTGTTTTGCGTCCTATGCGTTTTGAAGAAGATTTAGCATACCAACTCTTATATATATTTTTATTTCATTTAACTTCTTCAATTCTAAAGTAAACTATAAACCTAAACTTCAAAAGATAAATGTATGTAATTATGTGAAGATAAGGGTAAACCTTAACATTAAAAGTAAAGATGTTCTTGAAAGTCCCTTATTCTCTTCTTCAACAAATGCTGTAAAAAAAATAGTTGCCATAAAAAGCAAAGGGGAAGCCATATTTTGAACACTTATAATTTGCTCAATATATGTCTCTCCTTGTGACATGATGATAAATGTATTTAAATCCATCAAACTTAAATTGTGAAAGTCAAGAGCAAGGCCAAATGGATTCCTTTCATACTCAGTTGTTCTAAATCCATGTACCAGAAATAAAGCATTTAGATAATATGATATTTATCTCTTGATTGATTATAGAATACAAGATTTGCATAGGAATATAATTTTTATTTAAAGATCAAAGATTTAAAAAATATAATACATCCAGCATAATTGTTTAATTTAATTATTGTAATAGTGTAGCTTGATTGGTTTATTGATATATTATTAATATTATATATGTGAGGGCCAAGTGTACGGCTACAATGCCGTATACTAATATTAGTGTAGTGGGATTTTAGTAGCCATCAGATTGATTTCAATCCGGACTATTAGCTTCTGATATACACATTTTCTGTATTCCCTTTCTATATTCCATACACTCACATTAGTGGAGGTGAGGGGCACTTTTTGATTGTCCCTAATAAGTGTTTGGATTTGGGATTTTGGTTTAAATTTAGCTTTTGCATCATCTAGATCTAGTTTTTTCTATTTCCTTTTTTTTGTTCTTTTCTTTCAGGATTTTGGTTTCAATCTAGCTTTTTACATTGTCTAGATCTCCTCTTTTTTTAGTTTTTTGTTATTTCTCTTCTTTTGCTCTTTCCTTTTTATTCATCTTCATGGCAGATCAACAATCTCCTCCTTTAACTCTGGAGCAATAGTTGATACAATTGCTTGATGCTATGTGTTTGCAATTGAACAACCAAACTCAATTGATGGTGGCATTCACGGCACGTGGTACACCTCCTCCTACTCTTGGTGCCAATCCTCGTGTTCAGTCAGAGTTCTTTCATAGGAAACTTGAGGATGATGTGTACCATTGATTTGATCACTTCATGGTGATTGCCACATATCATTCTTGGGATGATGTTTGACATTTGCGTAAGTTTTTCACGTGTCTATAAGGGATGGCGATGCAGTGGTACAATAGTTTGAGTGCAGCCACTCGTGGGGATTGAAGTGTTCTCCCGGACGTCTTCAAATGCACATTCGAACATGCTAACGATTGTGATGATGCATTTCAGCAATTGCATCATTTTTGTCAAAGGCCATCTAAATCGGTGATGCAATTTGGCATTCGTTTCTGAAGCTTCTTGCTTCGTGCGGAGCCAAATATGTCAGAGTAGATCAAGCTAAGAATGTTGTGGCCAGCACTTCATCAAAATCTTGTCGAACTTGTGTATGCACTTGCTCCAACTACCCTTGATGATGCTCTTTGCTTGGCACAACGTTATGAAATATCACTTTTTCCACTTTTTGCTACACATCATTTCGCTCCACTTTCTGTGGGCGATGGTCCTATTCCAATGGAGGTTGATTTTGTTGCTACTCAAGTCCAAGGACAAGGATGAGGACGTGGTCGTGGCCGTGATATTCACTGTTGGGCATGTGATGAAGTTGGTCACACTTATCGGTATTGTTGGTGTTTTCCGGATTCGCAACCTCCATTTCCTAGGTGGAGACCTTGGCGTCAATAACATCCTGTTGGTGCTACTGTAGTGGAAGGTCTGGATATCGAGATGCATTCAAGAAACGAGGAGTTGCATGAGTAGCGAAGGGCCCTTATGCGAATAAGTCAGTGACCCCTCAATCTTTTTTTTGGGGGTATCATCAAGGGCTTCACTCGGCACTAGTTCATTCAGTGTTTACTTTCCAAGCTCATTTTTATAACAAGCAATCTCCTATTATTCTCTCCGTATTGGTTGATACAGGTTTGAGTTTATCTTCTATTGCTCGACCCATTGCTACATGTTGCCATCTACACTTGCGTCGTGTGGCAAAACTAGTTTTCATTCTTTATAGCAACGGCCATACACATGCATGTGCACGGGATGAGGCGGACCTTGGTTGTGCGTGTGGGTGATCTCGAGCCTGGGTTGCAGTCATTGCAGGTGGTGCTGAGTCAAGCTTTTGACCTCATCCTTGGTATGGATTAGTTGCAGCACAATTATGCCAAGTATGACTTTGAGGCTTCTCCCCTTTGTCTCATACTTCTTTATATTTCATCCATTCCTCTCACTTTTGTACCTCTTCGTCCCTCTACTTCTACCTCTACTTCCATTACTTTTGTCCCCCCACTATTTCCTCTTATGTTTCTATCTTGTTTTGCTCTTCCCTTTTCTGATCCCTCCGAAAATTTTTATGCTACAATGGTTGATTGACTCATGAAGGAGTATTTTGATCTCTTTGAATTTGACTTATTGTTTGGGGCCAAGATTGCCACACATCATCCGATTCCAACTGGGGATGCTCGTCCAATCAAAGTTCCTGTTCGTCGTTGGTCACCCAAAGAGATCAAGATTTTAATTGCAAATTAAGGAGATGTTGGAGAAGGGTGTTATTCGGAAGTTGCAAAGTCCTTAGGCATGTGAACCTCATCTTATGACAAAGCTTGATAGGAGTATTTATTTCTGCATCGACTATTATCCATTAAACAAAGTGCCAATCCCGGATGTATACCTTCTTCCTCACATTGTTGATATCTTGGATCATTTGGGGTGAAGTTGTTAGTTCACCAAGCTTGATCTTAGTTCTAGGTACTGGCAAGTACCGATGGCCAAAGAAGATATTCTTAAGACTGCTTTTCATACACCGTTTGGTTTATATGAGTTCTTGGTGATGCCGTTTAGTTTAAACAATGCTCCAGCAACTTTCTAGCGGATGATGGATGAGGTTCTTTGCGATGCCAGAGGTGATTACTGACTTCATTGATGATGTCTTGATCCACTTGGAGGGGACATGGGAGGAGCACTTGTGATGTTTGTAAAGTGTTGGACAGGCTATGGGACGTTGATTTAAAGCTGAAACAGTCAAAATGCGTGTTTGGGTCCAAAAACACGACTTATCTTGGGTACCATATTTCTCATGAGGGTTTGTAAGTTAATCCTGATAAACTTATGGCTGTTCTAAAGTTCCCTACTCCGAAGTGTGTGAATGATGTGTAGCGCTTTCTGGCAAGGTGCAATATCTCAGTTGTTTTGTGGATCATCTTTTTGATCGCACTGCACCATTGCGAGCGTTGCTGAAGTCATTAACGTCATCTTTCATTTGGTCTCCAGATTGTGAGCAGATGTTTGTGGATCTCAAAGAGCTCTTGACGACTCCTCTGGTTTTGGCATATCCTGATTACACTCGACCTTTTATTTTGCACATGGATGCTTTTGATATTGGTTTTGGAGGTGTGTTGATGCAAGAGAGCTCGAGTGTGCCTAGTCAGCATCATCCCATTGCATATATAAGTCGTACATTACAACCAGCAAAGGTGAACTACTCCACGACAGAAAATGAGTGTTTAGCAGCAGTCTGGGGTTTTGAGAAACTTCATGCATATCTACATGGTTCTCAGACATTACTTGAAGGTGATCATGCTGTCATTACTTCATTATTGAAGTGAAAGAACCTAGTTGGTCAGTGGGTTTAGAAGGTTTAGATATATAATTTTGATGTTGTTCATTGCCTCGGGAGTTCTATGGTTGATGGTAATGCCCTTTCTCGAGCTCCTTTTCCTTCTCCACTCACTTCTCATATTTTTGATAAGCCTATTGTTCTGGCATCTATGGATTTTTTAGACGAGGATTCTATGCCGTCGATGGTTGCTGTATTTGACATTCAGTGTCCACAAGGTGCAAAGTAAGATCTACCTTCTCTTAACAAAGTTCACGAGGCTCAAAAGTTTGAGCCATAGATTCGAAGGCTTCGAGATGGATTTGAGAATCCTACATCATTTGTTGATGACTTGCCATTCTAGTATTTACATTCTCAATATCACCTTAAAGATGAATTTTTTTATTTTGTGGGGACGGATCCTGATGATCCTTTATGGCTAGTGGTGCCTTCCGTCTTTATTCCATGGTTTCTCCATGCCTATCATGATTCTCCTATTCTAGGTGGGCATATAGGACATTGTCGTGTGACCAAGAAGCTGCACAAATCTTTCTATTAGCTGGAGATGCAACGTGATGTTATCCAGTATATGAGCAGTTGCGTTTGGTGCCAAGCTCGTAATAATCCCCTCGTGCTATGGAAGGACGATTGGAGTTAATTGCAATTTCCTGTCTATTTGAGTTGGTGGCATTTGATCTTATGGGACCTTTTCTGCGGTCGACGGTTGGCAATGAGTATGTTGTTATTGCTTCTGACTACGTGACTCATTAGGTGGAAGTTGGTGCTCTTGCTAGTGCCTTTGCAACTACTGTTGGATACTTCCTCCTCAATCAAGTGGTG